GAGTGATGATGGTAACGAGTGATGATGGTAACGAGTGATGGTGGTTACGAGTGATGGTGGTAACGAGTGATGATGGTAGCGAGTGATGGTGGTAACGAGTGATGATGGTAACGAGTGATGGTGGTTACGAGTGATGGTGGTAACGAGTGATGGTGGTAACGAGTGATGGTGGTAACGAGTGATGGTGGTAACGAGTGATGGTGGTAACGAGTGATGGTGGTAACGAGTGATGATGGTAACGAGTGTTCATGGTAACGAGTGATGGTGGTAACGAGTGATGATGGTAACGAGTGATGATGGTAACGAGTGATGATGGTAGCGAGTGGAGGTGACAAAAGTTTGAAGCTGATCAGTAGATACGTTCTCTAGACATAACACATCAACCCAGCAATTTCAGAATTATCAACTAAGTAAACTGTCAGATTTTAACACACAGCTTTAACTTCGCAAGGAGAATCGTAGTTTTACAGGAGAAAAGATTCTATTCGCTCTGTAGAGTTTGTCCTGTACGGTCGCAGACGCTCCTGCTCTTTTCAGTCTCCCTACGATCCCCGTTGGGGAGGGGTACCTCTACCTGCTTCCAAGAGACTTCACTTCCACGATGTCTCATCGTGTGAAGATCAAAGCCAAGAACTCTTCTGTCACTGATGCCTCGAAGCTTGCCCTTGCGACTGCCCTTAATAGCAGTTTGCAGTTAAAATTCTCGGGTATTGCAACTCTACAAGAATACTTCCTCGTCACCGTCATCGACTATGGGGAAACAGAAAAAAGTTCATTCACCAGCTGCAATGAAAAGCCTGGACGACCGAGGCTTTGCTCTCTCCACGTCACCATACATGCGACAAAAAGATCAGTGTTTATGAAGCGCCTAGACAAGACCATCACCGCCATGTCCACTGAGGAAACGTAGTGAAGATCCCCATTGCATCGTCGATGCTCAAGATCACGTTTATGGAGGTGAACATGGCTGCCAGAGCACTATCAGATGGCCTGTCTATATCCTACTACTACATCAGCTTGAATCAGAACGCTTCAAACATATAACACCATCTTGGACATGTTACTCTTACAATCACTTAACCAGTGACTGTCATGTCAGGAATAAGAACTGTTCCACCTGTGGTTCCGAAGGACATGATTATCGTTTCTGCGCCTCTACTGCTGCTCCCACGTGCATCAACTGTACGAGTGACCATCATACTCTGGCAGCCAAGTGTCCGGTCCGTAAGGAGATGCTATCAAAGAAGATAAAAGAGCTTAAGAAGATCAATGCAACGTCTGCTACTTATGCTGCTATGACGATGTTACAATCTACCACTACCAAGATACTACATACTACTCAACAGGCTTCACAAACCACCTTCACCAACAACCCTTCTTCTCCACTACTTGACGACATCTCCACGAAAATATATTACTGCATGATGTTTGCGCACATGTACAACGCTGCACATCCTGGATCCTTCAACAGGACGATCAACGAACTTTTCACACTGAACTCCATGCCATCCTTTCTCTTCCCAGACTCTCCACCATCCGCCGACAATCTCAAGATCACCAGAGACTTCGTCAAAGTGGCTATGTCGGCTTGCCCTTCCCAAGCAGCTCCTCACCACCACCACCACCACCACCACCACCACCACCACCAACTCCACGTGGCGTCACTCCAACTCAGACCAATGAGTTGCCTTCGTTGCCTCCACACATCTCAGGCGACCAATCATCACCCTCCATGCCACCAGCAGCTTTTTCCGGCTTAACTACAGTGGACCACTCAGAGAACTTGCTTAAAACGCCACAACCACTTGCCAAGAAAGCAAAAACTACGCCAACCACACCATCGTATGAATCGAGAATGGCTACAATTCCACTGGATTTGTAGATGAATGGTTCAGAGAACCGACATGTTGATAAATTAGACACATGTGCAACTCTTGGGTATCTTTATTGAGGAAACGTTTCGCCACACAGTGGCTTCATCAGTCCATACAAAGGAGAATCTTGAAGAACAGGAGGAGAGTGAGGTAATCAGTCCCTCAACCTTGAGTCGATGTGGTCAGTCCATCAATCTTGAATAGAATACGGCATACGTGCGGAGAAGGAGCTTATAAACCGTTGGTAGGAGAGGTGCAGCAGTCATAGGTGGTGTCACATTTGTTCAATGTGGAAGTAGGCCGTGCCCAAGAATTAGGCAAGTGAAGAATTCCCAAGTATTAAGATCCCAAGAAGTTGCAGTGTCTGACAGGTTTGTAGATGAATGGTTCAGAGAACCGACATGTTGATAAATTAGACACATGTGCAACTCTTGGGTATCTTTATTGAGGAAACGTTTCGCCACACAGTGGCTTCATCAGTCCATACAAAGGAGAATCTTGAAGAACAGGATTACCTCATTCTCCTCCTGTTCTTCAAGATTCTCCTTTGTATGGACTGACGAAGCCACTGTGTGGCGAAACGTTTCCTCAATAAAGATACCCAAGAGTTGCACATGTGTCTAATTCATCCACTGGATTGGTGGCTTAACTTTCTATACCACAACTCATTACGATCATGAAATGTCTACATATGACCCGCACAAGAACCTTGCGAACAATACAGTCAAGTATACTTGCAATCCAGACTCCACCTGCTCCTCCACACTCCTTGAAGGATTACAAGACGTCATAGATGATGGATCACATGGCACCAAGAAAACTAGATTCAGCATTGTCCCTGCATCAGGATTTAAGACAATCAAAAATGGATCCAGCACTGACAAACTGGAAGTTGTGAGACATCGTCATAACTCGAAATAAATTGTCTCCTCCGACCATTCACCATGCAGCAGATATCCTTCACCATCTCCAAAATCCTGCCCTCATGCGGACCGCCAGCCACCACTCACCAAGATTGAGCTTCGTCCACCATGCAAGATGCAGCCAGCCTCTGTTGTGTTCTCGAGACTTCTGCTTCACAATGCTTAGCAGTTGGGTTTAGTCTCGACTCTTTATCTTTGACTCAAGACCTTCTTCTCACCGGTTATTCTTCGTCTGTCCCCACTTCCCCACTCACCCACTTGGGGTCTTACCTGTGAGTCCTCGTTCGTTCGTTCGTTAGTTTTACAACAGGCAGCAGCCATCAAGACTTGAAGCCGCACAGAAAGAGATACATTCCAAGTATTACGTGGAAATATATCCTACCATTTTAAATAATAGCATTACGAAATTGGCATCTTCACACTCCCATAACATACACCAGTGTCGAAAGGTTTGAAGCCGAACAGAAAGGGCTTTCTCAGGTTATCACATGGTAGCTAAAATCGGGAATAGACTCCGTGAAATCGGAGAATACAGCTGCACGTGAGCTGCCCCAGTGAGGTCTCCCAGCTCAGGCTGACACTACTGAAGTCTCCCAACTCAGGCTGACACTACTGAAGTCTCCCAGCTCAGGCTGACACTACTGAAGTCTCCCAGCTCAGGCTGACACTACTGAAGTCTCCCAGCTCAGGCTGATACAATTCATTATCTAATGAATGAATCCCTTCTTATGAGACGTGATATGAGAGGGTCACGTAAGTGACTAATAATGGATAACCAGTGAAAGCAAAATGAACACTTGTCTCTGCTAAGTAATAACCTACATGGAGACTGAAACACGGAAGTTAAAGATGTCTGCTGAAGAGGACTCCAGATGGAGGTCGCAATATACAGACAATCTTATCTTACGTGTTTCTGTCTCCATGTGGGTTATTGCTTAACCCAACTAAGTAGTAAACTATTTATTAAGAAAAACGTTTGTCCAGTCAGTGGCTTCCTCAGTCCGATACAGAGAAGAACGGTAGATGAAGAGAAGGTGGAATGAATACATCGACTCCAGGCTGAGGGACTGATTACCTCAAACCCCTTTTCATCTTCCACCGTTCTTCTGTGTACTGGACTGAAGAAGCCACGTTCCCTCATTAAAGATTCCCAAATATTGCACAAGTATCTCATTCTTCAACTTGTCTGTTTTCTGGTTGGTAGGTAAGACACATAGGCAACAGTTAGGCAACTTTATTCCGAAACGTTTCGCCTACACAGTAGGCTTCTTCAGTCGAATACAGAAAGTTGGCAGGAACAGTAGAGATGTGAAGACGATGTAATCAGTCCATCACCCTTGAAGTCGTAGAATTTGAGGTTGTCAGTCCCTCGGCCTGGAGAAGTTCAGTTCCATAGTCAGGAACTATCTGAAGATCAAGCGACAGTGCGGAGACTTAAATACTGTCGGAAGGAGAGGTGCAGAGTAGTAGTAGTAGTGAGAACGTAGCCACTGAGAGGTCAGGTCCCTCTCAGATCCAACAGTTCTCACTTGAAATGGTTGTCTAAGGCGTTTTCTGTACCAAGAGGCCATGTGTTGCAGTGTCTGACAAGATGAACATCAAAAATGGTATACAATACCGACAGGTTGGTAGGTAAGACACATAGGCAACAGTTAGGCAACTTTATTCCGAAACGTTTCGCCTACACAGTAGGCTTCTTCAGTCGAATACAGAAAGTTGGCAGGAACAGTAGAGATGTGAAGACGATGTAATCAGTCCATCACCCTTGAAGTCGTAGAATTTGAGGTTGTCAGTCCCTCGGCCTGGAGAAGTTCAGTTCCATAGTCAGGAACTATCTGAAGATCAAGCGACAGTGCGGAGACTTAAATACTGTCGGAAGGAGAGGTGCAGAGTAGTAGTAGTAGTAGTAGTAGTAGTAGTAGTAGTAGTAGTAGTAGTGAGAATGTAGCCACTGAGAGGTCATGTCCCTCTCAGATCCAACAGTTCTCACTTGTATACCATTTTTGATGGTCATCTTGTCAGACACTGCAACACATGGCCTCTTGGTACAGAAAACGCCTTAGACAACCATTTCAAGTGAGAACTGTTGGATCTGAGAGGGACCTGACCTCTCAGATCGTAACTGGGTAATGTTCCCACTATATTCCCAGCACACAGCGAATATATCAAAAGTTATTTAATAAACAGAAGAAAATAATTTCAGGCACCTGGTGTCGGGTTCACTGGATGGGAAACTTATCATCTGGGACATCTATACAGGCAACAAGACTCAGATCATCCCTCTCCTGTCGGCCTGGGTCATGTCTGTGGCCTTCTCTCCCTCAGGCAACTTTGTGGGTACGTGTTTTAAGAACATAAGAACATAAGAAAAGAGGATCACTGCAGCAGGCCTGTTGGCCCATACTAGGCAGGTCCTTTACAATTCATCCCACTAACAAAACATTTGCCCAACCCGATTTTCAATGCCACCCAAGAAATAAGCTATGATGTGCAAGTCCCACTCAAATCCAACCCCTCCCACTCATGAGACATTTATGCAGCATATGGGAATCTTTATTCAGGAAACGTTTCGCCACACAGTGGCTTCATCAGTCCAATACAAAGAGGAAGGCGTAAGGAGAGGAGGAGTATGAGGTAATCAGTCCCTCAGCCTGGAGTCGATGTGTTCAGTCCATCAAGATTGATGGACTGAACACATCGACTCAAGGTTGAGGGACTGATTACCTCATTCTCCTCCTGTTCTTCAAGATTCTCCTTTGTATGGACTGATGAAGCCACTGTGTGGCGAAACGTTTCCTCAATAAAGATACCCAAGAGTTGCACATGTGTCTAATTTATCAAGTGAATGTAACTTAAGAGTCTTCAATCTTTCTTCATAAGGAAGATTTCTAATGCTATGTATTAATTTAGTCATCCTACGCTGAATGTTTTCTAACGAATTTATGTCCATTCTGTAATATGGAGACCAGAATTGAGCTGCATAATCTAGGTGAGGCCTTACTAATGATGTATAAAGCTGCAGTATGACCTCTGGACTTCTGTTGCTTACACTTCTTGATATAAATCCCAGTAATCTATTTACCTTATTACGTACGCTTAGGCATTGCTGTCTTGGTTTAAGGTTGCTGCTCACCATAACCCCCAAGTCCTTTTCGCAATCTGTATGGCTAAGTTCTACATTATGAAATTAAGACACATATGCAACATCTGGGTATCTTTACTGTAGACGTTTCGCCATCCAGTGGCTTTATCAATACAAATTCTAGGACATAACTTGAAGACAGTAAGACTATGTACAGAAGATGAGGTAATCAGTCCCTCAACCTTGGAGTAGGTGCGAAGAGCACCGTAGTCGTGGAGATTCTGAAGCAGAAGCAAGGAGCCTGGCGCTTATATAGTAACGTCAGGTGTAGCAGACGAAGGCATAGTCACTGGTAGGCGGGATTCCCCAGTGGAACTAGGTCCTATATACCATTATATGAACATACCATTATATGAAGATACCTAACTGTTGCATATGTGTCTTACCTAACATACCATTATATACCATTCTTGCACAAGTTCTACATTATTTAGCTTGTGATGAATGGTTTGAAAAACCGACAAGTTGAAGATTGAGACACTTATGCAGCATATGGGAATCTTTATTCACCTCACCTCACTACAGTATATAAGCCACGTCTACGGATCTATGCTGTGCATTCTACAAGATTGATGGACTGAACACATCGACTCCAGGCTGAGGGACTGATTACCTCATACTCCTCCTCTCCTTACGCCTTCCTCTTTGTATTGGACTGATGAAGCCACTGTGTGGCGAAACGTTTCCTGAATACAGATTCCCATATGCTGCATAAGTGTCTCAATCATTATTTAACTTATAAGTGCTAGGGTTATGGACACTCCCGAGCTTCAGAACCTTGCATTTATCTACATTGAACTGCATCTGCCACTTTTCTGACCAAGAATAGAATTTGTTTAAATCCTCCTGAAGTTCCATAACATCTACATATGAATCAATTATCCTACCTATCTTCGTGTCATCGGCGAATTTGCTCATATCACTAGTAATTCCCTCATCAAGATCATTGATAAATATTATAAACAACACCGGGCCCAAGACTGATCCCTGTGGAACGCCACTTGTTACAGATCCCCACTCGGATTTAACCCCATTTCTGCTTCTATCAACTTTTCTGTACTCGACTGAAGAAGCCTACTGTGTAGGCGAAACGTTTCGAAATAAAGATACCTAACTGTCGCATATGTGTCTTACCTAACAACCCCATTTATGTACACTCTCTGCTTCCTGTCTGTGAGCCATGACTCGATCCATGAGAGCACTTTTCCCCCAATGCCATGAGCTGCTACTTTCTTTAACAGTCTTTGGTGCGGAACTCTATCAAATGCCTTACTAAAATCTAAGTAAATAATATCAAATTCTTTATCGTGGTCAACAGCCTCTAAAGCTTTACTGAAGAAAGTTAATAAATTAGTTAGACAAGAACGGCCTCTTGTGAATCCATGCTGAGTATCATTAATCAAGCTATGCTTATCGAGATGGCTTCTTATAATCTCAGCTATAATTGACTCTAGTAATTTGCCTACAATTGAGGTCAGGCTTATTGGGCGGTAATTTGACGGTAACGACTTGTCCCCTGTTTTAAAAATAGGAATTACATTAGCCATCTTCCACATATCAGACACTATACCTGTTTGAAGAGAAAAATTAAAAATATTAGTTAATGGTTCACAGAGTTCCATTTTGCATTCCTTAAGAACCCTTGAAAAAACCTCATCAGGACCCGGTGACTTATTTTGCTTCAGTCGGTCTATCTGCTTCACAACCATTTCACTAGTGACTGTGATGTTACATAATTTTTCTTCAGGCCCACTGTAAAAATTAATTACTGGGATATTGTTAGTGTCTTCCTGTGTAAAAACCGAGATAAAGTAATTATTTAAAATCGAGCACATTTCATTCTCCTTGTCAGTAAGATGCCCATAGTTAATTTTAAGGGGACCTATCTTATCTCTAACTTTTGTTCTATAGACCTGGAAAAAACTTTTTGGGTTACTTTTCGAATCCTTAGCAACTTTAATTTCATAGTCCCTTTTAGCTTTTCTTATCCCCTTTTTAACGTCCCTCTTAATGTCAATATACTGATTCATAAGATGACCCTCACCTCTTTTGATACGCCTATAAATTCCCTTCTTATGCCCTAGTAGATATTTCAGCCTATTATTTATCCATTTTGGGTCATTTCTATTTGATCTAATTACTTTATACGGGATAAACGTTCTTTGAGCCTCATGTATAGTGTTCAGAAAACTGTCATATTGATAGATCTCTTCGTTACCCCAGTCAACAGATGATAAGTGTTCTCTAAGCCCATCGTAATCTGCTAAGCGAAAATCTGGGACTGTTACTGAGTTATCGCTACTATCGTACTTCCATTCAATGCTAAATGTAATTGATTTGTGGTCGCTAGCACCCAGCTCCTCTGAAATTTCTAAATTATTAACAAGGGATTCATTGTTTGCCAGAACTAAGTCAAGCAGATTATTTCCCCTTGTAGGTTCTGTCACAAACTGCTTCAAAAAACAATCCTGAACTACTTCTAAGAAGTCGTATGATTCTAAATTCCAGTCAAGAAATTCCAATCAATATGACTAAAGTTAAAGTCTCCTAGAATTACTACATTATCGTGCCTTGTGGCCTTAACAATTTCCTCCCATAGTAGTCTCCCTTGGGTAGCATTGAAAATTGGGTTGGGCAAATGTTTTGTTAATGGGATGGATTATAAAGGACCTGCCTAGTATGGGCCAACAGGCCTGCTGCAGTGATCCTCCTTTCTTATGTTCTTATGTTGACTTGCCGGTTTTAACCTTCAAAAGACACATATGCAACTGTTGCATATGTGTCTTACCTAACAATCTGTCGGTATTTTATACCATTTTAATGTTCAACCTTCAAAAGGTTATTTTTTTTTTTTTTTTGCGATTCGATTTGATATGTAATGACGTTCTGACTTTCAGAAGTCGTGCTTTGTCTCCACATATTTATTCCAATAAAATATTTGAGCCTCCAGATATGTAATTTGACTTCCAGTCATCCAGTTTAACCTTCAGAAATCTACGTCCTCCCGTCCAATGGCTAACTTCCAGCGACCAATGTAAAACCTCATTTGATGTATCTTTATTCAACAGTGACTTCAGAACACATGTTCACAACCCTTGTGGTATCCTTGTGTGTTGCAGCTAGCGGGGGCATGGATAACCAGTGCACCGTGCACGACATCAACAACAGGGACTCAACGGGAGTGGCCAAGATCTCACGTGAGCTGCTGGGCTACGAGGGCTTCCTGTCGTCCATGCGGTTCCTCGACGACACCAACCTCATCACCGGCTCTGGTGACATGAAGGTGTTAGTGTCCACACCTCGCAACTCATCCACTTAAACTCTGTGCTTATATCTAACGTACAGTTTGCAGTCAGTTTCTCAATTTAGGTTAGGTTAGATTAGACTGTCTTCTATTAGTCAAAATTAACCACATTTAACATATTTCCGAGACAATACGTGAAATACAAGATAAAGGCGACAAGAAGCTCTGACGCTCAACAGACAACAGAAAAACAGTTGAGGTTATAACTCCGGGTGTGTCATTCACTCAGGGGAGTCACCTGGTTGTATCTGGGGTAGAGCACTAGGGATAGGAACAGTTAGGTGACACGTCATTAGAGAGAAGGACCAGCTGGGTAGAAAAACCTACAGGAGAAAGGAAAGAGTTACTGAGAGTCATTGTGGGGGTACTGATTGCCAATGGGGCAACTGGAGCAACACATTGCATTGTACCAGGATTAAAAGTACTGGGTGCACTGGAGGTGGACTAACTGGTACTGAGGTACTGAGGGGTAGACCTGGAGGTAATAGAGGTGGACTGGGAGGTACGGAAGGTGAGCTGTTAGAGGAAGTGGTGAGTGACTGGTAGCAGACCTGAAGCGTGTTGGAGATACTGAGAAATGACCTGGAATGCGGCTAAGGTGGTCTGTAACATGACGTTACAATTTCCCTGCACATTCATCATCAAACTGAAGCTGGTAAGAGGCAGTTGGTACACCTCTGACATCAGAGTGACTTGCTTCTTCCTCCTCCCTCCCGCACAGCCTCGCTCGCTAGACCAGCAAAAACTAAATACTTTGGACATTTTTTGTTCCCGTTTTTCCCGAGGGTCTTCTAACCTGTCTTAGCCTCTCTCACGTCCTCTCTTACGTCCGTAAGAGAGAACAAGACAAGAGTCCATGTCTCTAGCCGAATCTTGTTGATCGTTTCTTCGTCAGGGAGACTTCCCTCACGGGTTTAAGTCAAATGGAGACCGGATTCGAAAGTAACCTGAGCCTCTGGTGGGGTCACGGAAAAGACGTTGTAGGTGGTGTGAGGTGTTGTAGACAGTGATGTACAAAGACAGCTTCGAAGTTAAGGTAACTGGGAAGAGTCGGCACCAGCAACCCCTGGACAATCGGTGCTGGGTATCCACCCCATTACCAAAAACAAGTTTTATTTTCGATCCGAGAGGGAGATCACTCACTATTATAGAACTCAAGAGCCCCTTTGGTTCAATGCACGCAAGAAAATTGTGTGTGTGTGTACCATACTCACCTGTTACTTTACCTGATGTCCCACACTCACCTGCTACCTGACCTGACGTCCCACACTCGCCTGTTCACCTGACCTGACGTCCCACACTCACCTGTTACCTGACCTGACGTCCCACACCCACCTGTTACCTGACCTGACATCCCACACTCACCTGTTACCTGACCTGACGTCCCACGCTCGCCTGTTCACCTGACCTGATGTCCCACACTCACCTGTTACCTGATCTGACATCCCACACTCACCTGTTACCTGACCTCCCACACCCACCTGATACCTGACCTGATGTCCCACACTCATCTGTTACCTGACCTGACGTCCCACACTCACCTGTTACCTGACCTGATGTCCCACACTCATCTGTTACCTGATCTGACGTCCCACACTCACCTGTTGCCTGACCTGACGTCCCACACTCACCTGTTACCTGACCTGACTTCCCACACTCACCTGTTACCTGTGTTACGAACATAGTCAGTTGGTCCCTGGGTTATAGTGCTTTTCGTAACAAAAACTTAGTACGTCTAGGTACTCACTTCAGAGGAAAAGGAATTTTCTTAGTTTCTATTTAATTTATTAATAATCATAATAATCACTTAAATTCACCTTCTCATATTTTGCACTATGAGTAGAATACTTTTACCATTCCTCATTAAAACAACACAGTACTGGGTTTAGTATTTACAAATGGCTCTGAGTGAGTCACGAAATATTAGTATAGGCACATGCACAGGCGTTGCTTAAAAACTCTAACACATTAATAGATTTCTTATGATAGGGTTCACTTTACAATAAGTCCCCATACACTACAGAGGCTCGCTCACTTGGCTTCACTTTCTCTAAGAGCTTCTCAACCGTCTTCTCCAACCGAGATAAGTCTTAGCAGTAAGCTCCCGAAAATTCCTGGGATTTTCTAGGGAGGCGAATGGTGGTTTAGAGGTGGATACTTCCCTCGACCCTTCCTGGTCCAAAGGAAGGTATGAACTGAACTCTGTGAGGCTTTACCAGCCCACTTTGTCTCGGTCGGAACAGGGGTTGAGCAGCTCGAAACACCTACTGGTGCTTGGCCAGGTCACCAGCAGTTGACACTAATTAAACGACCTACCTAAATACAAAGCTAAGTAATACGACCAGATAATATTATAAAGCCGAGTAAATCCATTTTAGCTACTAATGGAATTACTCCTGAATATAATATTAAATGAAATAGCAAAAATAACATGTAAAAGTATACCATTGTGATAAGAAACAGTACTTAAAATGAACAAAAGGGTGTAACACCTGACCTGACGTCCCACACTCACCTGTTACCTGACCTGAAGTCCCACACTCACCTGTTACCTGGCCTGACGTCCCACACCCACCTGTTACCTGACCTGACCTGACATCCCACACTCACCTGTTACCTGACCTGACGTCCCACACTCGCCTGTTCATCTGACCTGACGTCCCACACTCACCTGTTACCTGACCTGACGTCCCACACCTACCTGTTACCTGATCTGACATCCCACACTCACTTGTTACCTGACCTGACGTCCCACACCCGCCTGTTACCTGACCTGATGTCCCACACTCATCTGTTACCTGACCTGACGTCCCACACTCGCCTGTTCACCTGACCTGACATCCCACACTCACCTGTTACCTGACCTGATGTCCCACACTCATCTGTTACCTGACCTGATGTCCCACACTCATCTGTTACCTGACCTGACGTCCCACACTCACCTGTTACCTGACCTGACGTCCCACACCACCTGTTACCTGACCTGACGTCCCCACACTCACCTGTTACCTGACCTGACATCCCACACTCACCTGTTACCTGACCTGACGTCCCACACTCACCTGTTACCTGACCTGACGTCCCACACTCACCTGTTACCTGACCTGACATCCCACACTCACCTGTTACCTGACCTGACGTCCCACACTCACCTGTTACCTGACCTGACGTCCCACACTCACCTGTTACCTGATCTGACGTCCCACACTCACCTGTTACCTGACCTGACATCCCACACTCACCTGTTACCTGACCTGACGTCCCACACTCGCCTGTTCACCTGACCTGACATCCCACACTCACCTGTTACCTGACCTGATGTCCCACACTCATCTGTTACCTGACCTGATGTCCCACACTCATCTGTTACCTGACCTGACATCCCACACTCACCTGTTACCTGATCTGACGTCCCACACTCACCTGTTACCTGACCTGACGTCCCACACTCACCTGTTACCTGACCTGACATCCCACACTCACCTGTTACCTGACCTGACGTCCCACACTCACCTGTTACCTGACCTGACGTCCCACACTCACCTGTTACCTGATCTGACGTCCCACACTCACCTGTTACCTGACCTGACGTCCCACACTCACCTGTTACCTGATCTGACGTCCCACACTCACCTGCTACCTGACCTGACGGCTCACACTCACCTGTTACCTGACGTCCCACACCCAACTGTTACCTGACCTGACATCCCACACTCGCCTGTTCACCAGACCTGACATCCCACACTCTCCCCTGCGCACCTGAGGGTCATATCTTCCCCCTCACATTTCGTATCTTCTGAAAATAACACCAGTCTGGGGTCGAAATATACAAACCATCTTAATTTCCCGTGTTTCTATCTCCATGTGCGTTATTCACGCATGTATGTGTTCACGTGACTGAATAATTGCACGCATACGTGAACGTTTATCTACGTACATACATCATACGCAGTAGAAAAGAGAAGCAATTTTTTTTTAATTTTATTGAGAGAAAAACAGCAGAGAGAAAAAATCGTCCCGTGAGACGTTGACCCTCGGTAAAGCCTCCAGGTGGGTAGGATAGCATCATTGTATATTCTCAAGCATATAATGGCCCCTTCATTGTTATTCACTGATGGTCTGAACATGTAGATAAACATACTACATTATGATCTCTCTCTCTATCTCTCTCTCTCTCTCTCTCTCTCTCTCTCTCTCTCTCTCTTTCACCTCTGCCTTCTTTATATAATTTCTCTTGCCCACGCTCTGGGATGATGGAGATATCTTTTTCTATTTCTGCTATCTGGAAACATAACCACATATGCAGTTTAATGTGATCCTTTATTGACAACGTTTCGCCCACACAGTGGGCTTTTTCAAGTCACACACAGATCTACCTGGGGTGGAAGGTACGGGAGTATTTATAGTGTTTATGCTTCCAGTGTGTCGGTATTTTATACCATGTATTTTCATTTCTGCTTTCTATGGGATAGGCTAAATTGAGAGATGGTAATTTCCACGTGAAAGCAACTCCAGTTCAGCTGGAAAGAAAACTTTGAAGCTGACCTGGCTGGTGGACACTTGCTGGAATACTTGATGATATCCTCACTGTCCTGCTGTAGTCTCCCAGCTCAGACTGACACTACTGTAGTCTTCCAGCTCAGACTGACACTACTGTAGTCTTCCAGCTCAGAGTGACACTACTGTAGTCTTCCAGCTCAGACTGACACTACTGTAGTCTTCCAGCTCAGACTGACACTACTGTAGTCTCCCAGCTCAGACTGACACTACTGTAGTCTTCCAGCTCAGAGTGACACTACTGTAGTCTCCCAGCTCAGACTGACACTACTGTAGTCTCCCAGCTCAGACTGACACTACTGTAGTCTTCCAGCTCAGACTGACACTACTGTAGTCTTCCAGTTCAGACTGACTCTACTGTAGTCTCCCAGCTCAGAATGACACTACTGTAGTCTCCCAGCTAAGACTGACACTTCTGTAGTCT